AACGACGATCTAAGAGGACCACCAAGAGATTCTTCCCAACGCTGGTCAGTCATGAGTGGCAGGGTGTATGGGATCGTATGGGCCAGTTGGCCCCTCCGGTGCTTTGGAATTTCACCCCTGAGCAAGTGCAAAATCCAGAAAAATGAGCAGAACAGTTAGATGAGGGGTGCTGTTGTCCTGGCAATACCAGAGAGGGACAACTTACTGCAGTGTGCTGGGGCTTGGCTTACACCTACAGAGCATTTCTGGAAAAAGATGTCTCTGGATCTGATGGCAAAGCAATAGACAACACAGCTACTCAATCCCAGGCACAGCAGCTACACCAACCCCAGTGATGGACACTGCAGCCACTCCAACCACAGTGACAGAGACTGCAGCTGAACCAAAGGACCAATTCGTGCAAGTATCAGTTGCCCTATAAGAAAGGCGCAAAGCAAATGAGAGCCACAAAAAGCCACCCATGCAGTCAAGAAAGATGAAGACACAATGCATGTACTAGAGAGGATGGCATCTGAACGAGTTAATACTCTTGAAAGTTATTACAGGCATCAGAGGAAGACAAGGTAACTTCTTGATCCCAGACCATGACCAAGCTGCGGAACATACAAAAAGATTTCACCCATCTTCCAGGGGAGCACATCATCACGGGTTGCTTTGATGCTGGGCCAATGGGGCCAATGGTTGCGAACTACAAGGTAGGGAAGCCAAGCAGCTGGGATCACTTGCTATGGAAGGAGGAATTGACAAAGCAATTGCAAAAGAGAAATGAGCCCTCAGCCTATGAAGGAGGCTCTTGGCAGCTGTGAAGGAAAAGTATCCCTACAAGGACGAAGTTCTGTTTCGCTGAGCCAACTGGACCATGACAGAGAGAGGCATCCAGTCCCTGAGGGAATCAGCCATTCTAGAGATGATCTATCGTAGGCTGGATGCCAGGAATGCATCTGTAGATCCAGATGAAGTCGAATGTATGCGACCCATGTGGCGGAAACTTACACAGAGTGCACCATCATCATATTCCCACTCATTGGCATGAATGACCTGGAGTGAGGCAGCACCACCAACAGTGGATGAAGTGATTCAATAGCTCCAAGAGTTCAAAGACAGTCTCACCCCTTCCATCATTTCAGCTGAGGAAAAACTGTTCCAGGAGTTCAAACAATTGAGAGACGGTATATCCAGCTCCCAACATGTACCAACCTGTGTCTCAGCTATTAACAGAAGGTGTTCTATTGCCTGAGAGAGAAGATACAAGAGGTACATGCCACAGGTCACCCTGTTTTATCTGCAGGATCATGGAGAAGACATAAGAAAGTGCAATGGAAAACCTACCTCATTCTGGAGGAACAGGTGCGTGAATTGAAGAGGAGAACAATGGTCAAGGATGATCCTCCCATGAAAGTTGCTGCTCCAGTCTTCAGTGAGCAGCTTCCCAGATGAAGTGGAAGAGCTGATTTTACCATGACACTTGGGTATAATTCACTGCCCAAGACCTAATTTCCTTCACAAAATAAGCCTCAGTGATGACATAGCTATAATCCAAGCTTTATGTTAACACTTACTATTATTATTATAATAATTATTATTATTATTAGCTTTTAGTATGTTTACACTTAGTTGGTACAAACATATTAACTGAATACTACAACTACTACTACTAAATGCTCTGATAGGAAGTATAAGTTTTATATCTTAACAGTTGTGAATACCCACAGAAAAATATATATTCACAGAATCTTACAAAAGGACTTGTAAAAGATACACTTACAGTTTTCACTACATGACATTGTGCAACCTATTTCAAAATACATCCACAACATCAATCAATTCATTTAAAAAAAAAAGACACTGCCAAAGTGAACTTGTCTCTAAGTGAACAGGAACAAGAGGGAGCCCAGAAAAAACATTTAATGTAGTCAGACAGAGTAAAGTAGGATTACTTAGCTTAGTAAAGAAACAAATGAGAAAAATAAAAAATGCATTGCACTGAAAAAGAAGATTGAGAATTACTGTCTCAGAATATGTGTATGAAGAATCCTGGAGGAAATGAAATGGTGACAAAATAATGGATTGCACAATTAAGTTGGAGCAAAAACTTGATCTCATAATAAATAAGCACACGGACATTAGATGAAGCAAAAAGGTAAAAGAACTCCAACAGTGCACTTAAAAATGCTTCATGATCAAAAAAAAGGAACATATGAACAGTATCAGAAAAGGACATGCTTCACAAGAAGTCTTTAAGACAAAGAACTGGATATTTAACCAGAAAATCCAAAACTGCCTGAACTGCCCCATTTTGGAAAGACATATTAAATCCCACCTTCCAAAACTGAAAGTGTCTAAACTGTGATATGCTTTATGGAAAGTAAGTTCCTTCACTTCCTTTAAAACATATGGCACTGGCAACCTTGGGACAGGATGCTGGATAGGAGCAGTTCTTGTCCTCCAGCATACCTATTCAGGTGGACAGTAGTCAGGAAACACCTAAGCCTACCTTATTCTTGGATGTTGCTGTTGCTGACAGGTGCATCTTTCTCCTTCTCCCTTCCCTCTGATTCCATATTTTGCTAATCAATTACAATGGTGAAAAATAATACATCCTGTCTTCATAGGCCTGCAAATATGTATCCCAGATCTACTATACAAACCAGATGATCACGGGCTAAAAAGACATGCCACTCTATTACTTGCGTTTTCTACAGTTGCTTTAGACCTTTTGGTTTGCCAGCTTCCCTTTTCAAACAGCTCAGAAGCAATAAAGATACTAACGCAAACAGGAAAGGATGCCAGGTTAAGCTTTTCAAGAAATTCCCTTCTTTCCTCAACAGTTGACAGGAAATTTCTGGTTTATTGACTTGGATTGTATTTGGCGAGGAACCCATAGAATATATTTTTGGCATGATGAATCCAATCTAAGAAGGGAAAAATAAAATATTTGACAGTGGGATGAAGCACTCAGAGTGCTGGATGCCCAAAGAATCTGAAAAGTAATCATGCTCATTGTTAACTGAAATTCTGAATACTGCAGGAATATAAAAGTATTCTCAACTGTTACTCTGTAAGTAACACAGTCTGCAAGGTGTGGCGGTCAAAGAAACTAAACAGGATTTACATTCAACATAACTGACAAGCTACCTTACTTTTTTCCATTGCTGTACCCTGAATGCAATGTCTTATGTCCTCTGTAGGGGTGGATGGCCATGGCAGGTTGCACTCCGACTGAAATCTTCTCATGGTGATGGAAGACTCTTGTGTGGTGCTACTCTTATCAGCAGCTGCTGGGTCCTCACTGCTGCACACTGCTTTAAAAGGTAGCTCTCTCTTCATCAGCGGAGTGTATTTTCAAACTCTTTCATTGTTCTGGGTATAGGCAAAAACATTCCAGTTCAAGCCCACTGAAAACTGTTCCACAGAGTTGGCCCTTAGTGTAAACAAGAACTACCAAGCAATCTCTTTTCCCTCCAAATACAAACAAAATCCCTAATACACTGGAATTATTCTGGGTGTCATCTAGTATTTTAAGCTTTCGCTAACAATTATTTCATTTGAATCCTTACAAAAGGCTGCAGTATAGGCTCAAATAAAAGCATAGAATGGCACTGCAGTTTTGAGGATACTTGCTAGAATTTGCTCAAGTGGGCTGCAAATGTTTTAACTTTTGACACTTTCCTTTTCCACACTAATAACTAAAAAGAAAGTCAGATGTACTTTTGCTCAAACAAAAGTGTTATCTTTGCTCACTGCCAGATGTACATCTTTTCATTCCATGTTTTATGAAAATCACAAAGGGCTTTTCAAGCAGAAATGGTCGAACTTGGTAAAATTTCTGCCTACTTCAAGTGATGTCCCAGTTGTTTCCGTAAAACTATGAAATACTTCAGTTGTTACCAATGAAATTTATAGACAGTGACTTCCTATTGCCCTGTTCATCATCTCCATAGTGGACGAATGCATCGAAGGATGCAACTTAAACTCTTAAGAAAGCTTTCGAATAAAGGCTTGAAACCAAGGCAGTCCTTTCTGTTATTTTACCTCTAAGATCCTCCTCAAGGAAAGAAAAAGCGAGGTCACAGGAAGCCAGTTATGTTTTCCATGTGCAAATCAAGATCTTAGTTATCTAACTCTTCAGTAACACTCTCACAAAGTTTGGTGAAACAACTTAGTATCTACTGTGCTGTGCTGCTGCAGCTGCAGTGCTTTCCTTACAGGAAGCACTCCCCACAGAATACATTATTTGTACTTCCCAATGGCTTGCTTATGTAGCTGGAACCTCAAGTCATTACTGAATGTGCTGCCAAAGCACGCCCATTTTGGGTACTTTGCTGAACACCCCCGTGATGGGCAGCAGTATGGCTAGAGCATTGTACACCATGACACTTTCAGACCAGTGCAGCCACTCATGGCTCTGTTACAGGCTATCCTCAAGCTGTTACATGTGCTCTCAGGGACCAAAACATTGTTTTGCCCCAGACACTGCATTTAAAACTGTGCAACCTAGATCTAAGCACGCAACTCCAAGAGCCCGTGGATGCCGTTTTCAATATTTAGTGTGACAAGGAGAAGGAATCTTTTGCTCGAAGTTGACACTGGACAGACTGGGCTGAACTTCCTAATGATGTCAGAGTGATTTTAAAGTGGCTAGGTTTCCAAGGGCTATCTATAGATCAAGCGCCTTCTTCATATATTTTTCACAGACAGACAAAAGAAAGGCCAGTATACCATTTCTCATATCCTGGAAACTGGAACAGTACTTAAATAACAAAAGTGGGCTTATCTGCACTATGAATAAGAATTAAATACAATTTTATGCATGATAATTAGAATTGTTTGCCAGTAGTACAGAAGCATTACTATAATTTCACAGATATAATTTAAGAGCAAAAATTACTTGAAGCTATTTTTCCTTTTATAACCAACCCATCTAATTACTAAGTTTTGTCCTGAGTGTCTCTGACAGCTATAGGGAATTTGCAGGTCCATACATCAAAAAAAATATTAACTTTGGATAAATAGAAATATTAAGCATAGGAAAAAAAAAAAGTAAATCGTAATGACCATGATGTCAATTGAGGAAATACAGTGTAATATGAATATTGTACTGTTCTAATAATTTAACTCTTAAGTGCTTCTTTATGCATTCCTGAATGCTCATGTATACTCGTGTGTACTTCAACATTTTGTTGAAGTATTGGTAATTTTGTTTTGAGAATGAGGGACCCTGAGGCACAGTGGAACCAAATAACTAGTAAGACACCAGAAACTGAAGTAGATACGAGAATTCAAGCTCTGTTTTCTCAAATTTAGCATGAACGGTGAGATGAATTCAGATGTGCCTTCAATGTCAGTACATTTCTTGACTGGCAGCAGGATGATATTAGCATGGTGGCTGATTATTAATCCACCCTCCAGTTGGCTGGGACATAAACCTTCTAGGAGGTGCTAAGGTCAACACTGCCAAGCTGCACTAGAGCTTCAAGGCATGGCCAGCCATCCTACAAAGGGGTAATACCCTAAAAGCAATATAATTTTCCACCCACAAAGCACTCCCAGACTCCTCCTCTGCTTCCACCCTTCAAATGTGATGTGTGTGTGATGGTTCTCTGCCATTTCAAAGGTGACTTCTAGGTAAGGAAGACTGGAGAGCCCTGAGCTAGACACTTTGCCTTTGTACTGATGCTCTAATAAGAGTATTTCTGCATTTGGCTAATACCAGCTACTACAGGGGAAGAAATGTAATTGTCTACAGATAAAAAAATCAGTTTAAGAAAGCCTGATGTGTATGAATGTGCATAGAAATATGGTAAATCTGTGCAAACACAGCTCATTAAGCTTCTCACAAGAAGCCTTGTAGCTGTTAGTTTCATACATTTGCACGAGAAGCAGCATTTCTCATTCTATTAAATGTTTTAAATCAGTACTTTTAATTAAGATAAGCTTTCCTCAATCTCCTCTATTATTCTTCTCTAAATGACCATCATTCATAACACAGAAAAACAGCAGGTACCTATTAAATGGAATGCTATTCCTTTTGTCAAAATTAAGGATGCAACATTAAATAGAAGCAAGTTTTCTACTAGACTGTCTGATACATGGCTGACAGGAGAGCTCTCATTATCACTTCATGATTAGGCTTACGAACCAAAATAACAAGTAAAGGTCTATTTCCTTTGATTATTACATTAGTTTAGGAAGGAGGTATGTTCCTTTCTTACCTAAATTACAAACACTTAATGCTTTTGTGACTCTGTAGTACTCTAAACTTCCACAAGGTTTAAAAAACAGAAAAGAAAACCCCAACAAAACCCCACAACAACAACAGAACTCCAACACCCCAACCCCCCAGTCCCTTCTCCCCTTCAAATTGCATTAAGGATAATGGATACAGAAACCAGTAAATCCATGATGCTGATGTTGTGGGTAAGACCTATAAACTAGAATGCAGAAGCACCATTACATTAAAAAAAAAAACCACCCCCCCCCCCCAACCCAAGAACAAAAAAAAAAACCCCCCCCCCCCCCCAAACCAAGAAACCATGCAAAGTTACCTTTTTCTACTTGAGAGCCAGATTTCTATTGCACAGCTGCAAAGTACTATGATTGTGTTTATTTCTATACACAAACCATATGTGTCAGTGTACAGAATTGTTAACATGGGCAAATATTTACTGAAGGTAAAAAAGCTTTCATAATCCAGAAGGTGGATTATGGAAACCACTAATAATAGGTGGTTTGCTGCACACAGCCAAAAGTGTATCTGTAAATTAGAAGAGAGTATTTTCAGTGAACTTTTGGATCGGATTGGCAGATTATGCCAGGCAAATATATATATACATATTGCTAAAGACCTTGTACATTTGTATTCCAATATGACACTCAGATGTGTATCAAACCTCGTTAAAATACTACGTTCAAAGATCATATCTAGCAATACATTCTAGGGTACAGAATCCTGTTTATGATAGCTTTTAAACACAGTAAGATGAACAGTTACAAACTATTACTGTAGCAAAAACTATTAAGCTATTTAATGTTGCTTAACTGGCAAAGAAAATGGCATTATTTTACTTAACATGTTGGGTCGACTGCTTAAGTGGAGCGCCATCGTGCGGTTATGAAATTTGAGCAGAAAAATGTATCTGACAGGTCACTAACTAAAACAACTCTTCTGTTTACTTTAGTGGGGGTTTTGCATGTAAGTTATTCAAATAAAAATAACACAGTCATTTACTGCAATAGTAACTAAAGTATTTTCTGGACTGTCTTCTTTTTCTAATTTACTCTGGGGAAAACAGATCTTACATAATTAGCTCATGCATCAGCCAAGATTACAAATCATCTTGGCCTGGGCAAGACACATAAGAAGTACTTTATTGGCTGTATAACCCATCCCAGTGTTACTACACTCTTTACATTCTGAGCATTACATCTGTTCTATAAATAGATTTTGTATAAAGTGAAAGACTGTTTGATACTGCACATCCTGACCATTCAGCTGCCTGCCTCCACACTGACCTTGTCTACTTTGGAGAGGGGTATAGGCTATCAGCATGTAAAATGTTCTGTAGTTGGGTTGTTTTATTCCTCTGTTTTGCAAGTTTCACAGATGACCAATGCATTGATTGGCTTACACAAAAAAATGAACTACCAAGGTCTGCTAGTTTGGTTTTCACAGTGTATTCAAACTGCTTTATATACCACAGGAGCATGCTTTCCATCAAACAATCAACATTAAGGGTACTTCCAAGAAAAAGATGGCCACAGTGATCAATACACTTGCCCTCATTTGGCAGTTTCTCTTGCTGCAACCAATTCAGAAACCTTTACGCTGTAGTTCTGGGAAATACACCACCTATGAGGTTATAAAGCCTCTGTGAAGAGACAAATGACCATTTAATATATATAAATATTGAACTGCAGATGCAGTGTTCTGCAGGACACAAGATTAAACTAAGGAATCCGATTAATTGCCCTACTAATATTTTCCATAACTAGAGGAATAAAAAATACTTTCACCCCTTAGTTTGTGTATTTATATAAAAAATACGTTTCTAACTCTAAATGCTACGGTTTTGCCAAAGCATTACTGGAAACTTTTGCACGTGGGCCAGGAAAATTTACTTTCAAGTCTATCTATATATAAACATGATAAATTAAATTCAGAATTATAGTTTCTAAAAATTCCCAGAAACAATAGCAAGTAAATTCAAAAAACTATTCAGTACAAACTGGTACTGAAATGCACCAAGTGTTTTATTATGAAGATGCACAACGTATTTATAAAAAGGCATCTTCACAGAAATACTACTCAAATAAAGCTGTTGTTAAGTAATACCTACACTATACAGTATTTTAAAGTACTAAAGATACATGTAGCCTTATTCCTTTCTCTATTAAGGAAATCCAAATAGACGGCAGAAAAAAAAACCCCAACCAATAAAGAAACTCACAGAAGGTCCCAGATCAGATCACAGCACTGCTCTAGAAAACCTCACTGTTTTCTAGCCAGTGCCAGAATACTTTTACTGGCTCCCACATCACAGCTCAGAGTAACAATAATTTCAGTTTAGACTGATAATAGTATACTAAGTGTCTCGGCAAAATACAGTAAGATTAGCCTTTTCTCATGTAAAGATGTGTGGCAACAGTGACCCAGGAGGGGATTCATTAGCGTCAGAGAAGAAATTCTTGGGCAAAGATTTGACAGACTATCTACAAGGATGCAGGACTTAAGATTTCACTGATGCCACTTCAGATGGCCAAATATAGATGGATATGTATCACTCAAAAAACTAATTAAGACCCAACAGCCTTTCTTACTCTGAAAAATCTCCTTAAAGGCAACAAAACTAAAAGCAACTACTTCCATGGAATTTTGCTGTTTATTTTATCAGGAAAATAATAAACTGTGAAGTCTTAGCAAGCTTTTAAAAATGGCAAAACCACAAATGCTGACCTAGAAATGAGAACAGGACATCTACTGCAAGAGAAAATGAGACTCAAGTATTTTTTTTTTTAAAAAGCTTACAAAGAAATATCTCTATTCTAGAAACTTCAAGGGACTGGATTCAGAATGCCTAGAGAGCCAAGATTCATGGTTCTGCCTTGTTTGATGTTCTGTTCCTATTCAGGCTCTAATTTCTTAATAGAAAATTCCTAATGAAAATTGATTCAATGGTAAGTTATGAAACACTAGCAATTTTATGGTAAAACCAGAAAGATTAGTAATGTGACACATACAAATAGAGGGTTTTTCTTAAATATCTTTGAGATAAAAATACTGATTCACAAACTAAAAAAGCACTGAGCTATTTCTTTCAGGAAGCAAAGAAGTAATGTATTTGGTAGAATACACAATTTTTCTCAGTTGTCCCTCTGAGACTAAATTTTAAACTTTGAAAAGTCTGCATCCATTGCATCTCTTCACTTCTAGCTGCTGCAAAATTTTGATTTCCAAGCACAATGAAAATAGTACCTAGAAAGTATTTCATAGAGACTACTACTACAGAAGAGCTGAGGAAAGTTTTGTGATACACAAGTTATTTTAGTTTTCCTATACAGAAGGTAATTTTAAAATGAACAGGTATTTGGTTGTAGCCTGCAACTCTTTCTCCTTACTAGCCTCGAAATGAGATTTTGCTCATAGAAGACCTGAAGGAGACATGCAGAATTTGACAAAGAAAGTTTTGAAGGCAACCAGGAATGCAATCCACAATTAGAAGAAATATTCAGTGGTATACTGGGCAGAAGAAACCTGTCACGTTCTTGCTTTTTCTGCTGCTCCTTAAGCAGACTTTTGTAAGCTATGGAGATCAGCACTTTGCTGGAGGGTATAAAAAGAACAAGACAGGTTAGAACGTGACAGAACACTGTAGGCCAATTTCCTATTGAAGACTAAGAGGGAAAGCAAGAAGGCAAAGGAAAAGTATTTGTGTTAGCTTCGCCAGATTTTAAAACAAATAAATAAATGTACCCAACAGTACAGTCTTGTTTGCATTTTCCTGAGAAGGGCTCCAAAAATCTCCAAAGGCACACACAGAAAATAATTATTTCAGCCACAGTAATCATCTCTAAGGTATTTACCATTTAGTTTATGATGTGAAAGAAACTGGAGTTATATTAGGTGCAAAACAAAGCTAAGATTTACAGGTGTTCTGCCACTTTGACAGTGGGTGCTTGTGATGCACATAGGCTTTGTTTTCCTTTAAAAATGATGTCTACAACTCTTCGGGGTTCTTTAAATGCCACAAATGTAGTGTACAACTAATTCCTTACTTCAGTTAATGTAAAGCAAAGCAAGCCTGAACATGGTTTTCATTTCAGTAATTATTTAGAGCATCACAATGATGTTAGCACTCAGGCTTTCATTATATTTACTGGCAGTTTATGTTACCCTTACTAAATACATTTACAATGCACACCTTGCTTGCACCTTTGAAATAAATGCCAGTCATGGCAAATGGCTGTAAGAAACCTCACCTGTGAAAATACACAAAAAGAAACATAGCCCAACGTGAAACTTCAGGAAAAGGTGTTTTTTTTTATTTATATATTTATATTGACATATTATGAATGCCAGTCCAAACACCTGAGAAAGCATTTCTGCTCTTTAAAAAACCCTTTTTGTATCATTATTTATACGAGCGATAAAGACTGATCAAATCTATTTGCATGCTTTGGGTGTAACTTTACATAAGCCAGCCCTATTTGTTTTCACCTCAATCTTAGGTATGGCAACATCACTCAGAACTACGCTGTGCGAGTTGGAGACTATCACACACTGGTACCAGAAGAATATGAGGAAGAAACTGGAGTCCAACAGATTGTGATGCATAAAGATTACAGGCCTGACAGCAGTGACTATGACATTGCATTGGTGAGGCTACAGGGGCCAGAGGAACGGTGCGCCAGATTCAGTACCCATGTCTTACCTGCCTGTTTGCCATTAAGGAGAGAGAGACCACAGAAAACTGCTCCCAACTGTTATATCACTGGATGGGGTGACACAGGTAAAAATGTTTTAATGACTTCCATACACCAATCGCATTACCTGAGGCTGCTTATTTAAAACCAAACACCATTGAAACAAACAAAACCCCAAACTCAAATACTTAAAATAAGAAAATGCTCCAAATGGAACAATTTTACTCTCTTTAGATAGCGGGATATTTTCCCTCCTGATCCTTAACCAGAAATGACAGCATTCTGTTTACTCAATTTAGTTTGTGTTTGAAAAGTAGCAATTAACCATGTCACTCTAAAGCACAGAACCAGTCAGTAAAATGGCCTCATTAGGATTGACAAGGATCAGTGAAAAGCTGCCAGGCACACCCTGCACTGCAGCCTATCACCCCCTGCCTCAGAACATAACTAACAGTTCTAATATAGTTAAGAGTTTAAAAGGTATGTACAATGAATACTTTACAAAGGTTATTTATATTACCCTACTTCCATAGAAAATGGATAGAAAACGTACAAATCATAGAATTTCAAATAACATTTTTACTTTCCCTTGTTACCACTGACATTTTCAATTGGCAGTTTGATTTACACAAGAGAACATCTTGCCAAAATTTACTACAGCCACAATGCAGTTTGCAGTCCAGGTTTCTGGAACAAACTAGGCACTCTGTAGGTCAGTACAAGATTCCTCCTCCTCTTGCAAGGTCTTTGTCCTTTAAATGTTTTACAAATTAATAACCATGGTTTACTTTCATGTTTTTATGGTGCTGAATACAGCACAAGGCAGCAACCACACTTGAGCCTTTGTTCCAACAACTCATTCAAACTGGCAAAGGGACAAGGCAGCAAGGCCAAATACCAGTTCTTTACATGCATTACTCTGTAGGCACAGATGTCTGGGGCACTGTTCTACAATACAGAAGATACGACTTGTAGGGTGGGTTTTTTTGCTAAGAACAATTGCTAATTCATTGCCTGGCTCTGCCTAGAAAGTTATTCACTAAAAGTTCTGCAATACTGTTAACTTAGGACATCTATTTAAGGAAACATTAATCACTGCAATAACTGGCTTTAATTAGGGTAAGAAACTACTTTATCACACCACCTCAGTTGAAATTTCACACTTACTATATGAATCATAATTACAAGTATTCAGATTTTACTTGGAAATTAAAAAAAACAACATTGACTTCAATTTCCCATGTTTCCAACTGAAAAAGAGGTGCAAGTTATAGGAAAAAGCCAAGTTATTTAAATCTTGACTTATTATAAGCAAAGCACTGCTTATACAATGTAGGATTCACGACAGATAAAGAAAACCAAAGGACAGGTTCTGGTCACCCCCACAGATTGAAGATTCTTTTTGGTCAGGAGTCCCATTAGTACTCTGGTACTTAGAAGTTACCAGGATTGTAAAAGATTCAAATGATACTACTGATTTCTATCAGAACACACTATGGCTCAATAACGTTAGGTTCTTAGTTGTGGTGACAAGCAAGACTGTGTGTACTTACTGGGTGTGTGATGGTTAGCTGGATGCTCTATTTGGAAGCCAACAGAGGATGCAGCACCTGTCAGGCTGAGCTAGACTAGACTTGAACTGGTGACCTAAAAATGAAGTATTTCTACAGCCTTAGTCTCTACTGCTCAAGACTCCCAAAAATAACTTCTCCATTTAGGTATCAAGGCATATATTCTTGCAGAAGACAAAAAGCATGTTTGGAACAAAAAGACCCCAGCTTTGGAAAGATCCAGGGGACACAAGAAGTAAACTTACCTCTAAATTTTATGCCTTTTTTTAAAAAAAAGCATCTATATGCCGTATTTACACTATTTATATAGTATTTTGGTATTATATTTAATGCACAGTAGTTTGTCTTTACAGTCATTTTACTTAATAACAAAACAGTGTAAACGACAGACAGCAAAAATTGGACTGAACCACATTTATGTTTCCAAGAGCAACCACTACAAGAGAATAATTCTGATCCTCTTTTCAGGAAGGGCTTATTCAAGAACATTACAACAGGCTGCCATCCCCTTACTCCCCAAAAGGGTATGTGAAGAACGTTACAAAAGAAGATTCACAGGAAGAATGCTCTGTGCTGGAAACATCCAGGAACAGAAACGTGTTGATAGCTGTCAAGGAGACAGTGGGGGACCATTGATGTGTGAACGTCCAGGGGGAAGCTGGGTTGTGTATGGTGTGACCTCCTGGGGCTACGGCTGTGGAGTGAAAGATTCTCCAGGTGTCTACACAAAAGTATCATCTTTCGTAGCATGGATAAAAAGTGTGATCAAACTATGAATGTCCATAATGAAAACCAAACTTTGTTAACAAAGTTGGAGGCAGAACAATTTGAACAGCACAGGCAGTGCATGCACAGCTGGGGTCCAGAGTGGGTGGAAATTTTCGTTTGTGTGTTTTTCTTTACATTAAATCCAAACTGTATACACGCCACCTTTCCAGTTAGGGATTACTATCCAAACAAAATCCCTCTGTGTTAAGGAAGTTCATATATTGGACTAACGAGTTACCATATATCTAAGATAAAGGGAGAAGTGATAGCCAGCTTAGAATAACATTGAAGCAGGACAGCTAGAGTTCACTATGAGATTCATTGCCTACAGGAAGACTGCAGAAGCTCCAAGCTATTTATGCTTCGAGCTTCCCTAGAATTAATTACAGATCTCAAAATCAATCTTCCATATATTTAATCAGTTCCTGGTTGTTCTCTTATTATTCCTATTATACTCAGCCCTTTAATTTTGAATCATGTTTCATTAACTAATGAGACCATTAGCAGGTTGATTCTTGGTAAGCAATTCTGAGTACATATTAAAGGTCAGAAGGGAAATAATGGCTGATAATCAGATCCCCAACCATTCTGACAAATGCTCTCGCATCTTACTGTGCATAAGGTACATGCCCACATAAAATAGGTAGTACACATAGGAAGTTGGTTTCCCCACAAACACCCTGCACAGCTGCAAAAACTAGATTTGACGAATGACCTCATATTTTCTTTTCTCTAGATAAATATCATTTGTCTTCTTTCTGAAATTTCTAATTTTTAGTACATACAGCATTTCAGATTTTCTTATTTACCGTGAGCTGTCAGTACAGTAACAGACTAACAGACAAACATCCCAATCCTCTCTCATCACTGGTTTTGGAGAGGCTTCACTCAAGTAACACAAAGGACCTCTGTCAATCCTACAAGCTCTAAGTATGTACAATACAAATACTAGAGAAGTCAAGCCAAAACCTGTCTGAAAACGTCTATAAAGTCCTAAACTACTATATTCTACAAGATAGTATTTAGACAACTCTCTCTGGCTTAGCTGCAACACTGGTTCAGCCTGATCTTACAGGAAAGGTGAGAGCTAGATAGTTTTCAGTGACTTCTGAAGTATTGACATATCTTGCTTCCATTTAATTCCTTTTACAAATATTGTTCCTCGTGCTATGAAGACCATAATGGTTTATTATAAAAATGCAGTGATAAGAAGTTACTCTTGATGTACAAGACAAATGTAAACCAACTTGCTATCCTATTAAAAAGGGCCACCCCACTGAACTTTGCACACAGACCACAGGAAGTAATTTCCATCTTAGTGCAACACTAATGGGTATCAGTCTTGAAAAGATCTGTGACTAACTACAGTCAAGGAGACAGGAAAGTTCAGCACTACTTCTACGATCCCTGTCAAAGTCCATTCTATATGCAAGTGTGCTCTATGTATTATGTGAACATGCTTCTTAAAAAGATGAAACAAAAGCTCTGTGGGCCATGAAATGCTATGGTGTGACAAGTGTGGCAGATGTCTATCACCACATAGTGATTGTGCAAACCATGACTACTAGTGGCCGTTCCCCTATGTTTTCTATCTCCAAACTCTACCTTTCATGAAGAAAATGGGATGCTTGCATTCATGTTATAAGTGGGCAATCACTCATTTCTGTATGGTTCTGTCTCTGTCTGGTGTTGTAACAAGTATCTGAGTCAACTCATTTCACAAACAAAAGTGATGAATGGCGTTGCAGAAGCCCAAGTGGTTGAAGACTTGGCCTTTAATTTTGCCCGGTTCTCACCTCAGATTTAATTTTCAAGGGTCATGCCTAGTTTAAATGTCTTGCTGGAACTGGTGCTAACTTAGTACACAAGGTGCTTTAATGTATTTTACTTTCCTGTAATTCCACACTGTTCAAAATTGCATGAAGTACTTATTTAAAAACATGCCAGAAATCATAGTACTGTGACCACCTATATCAGATATATAACAGACCTGTATGAAACACTGTGCTTGTGAACTTGAAAACCATTTTACTTACAGCCCTTTTAATTGAAGGGGAATTAAATCTGTCAAAATGTATCTATTTGTACCATCACAGCTTTGCTATACCAAAACTGTTATTTTGAGACGTGTGGTGAAGTAGGCTATATATGGTCAAGCAGACTATATAGTGCAATACATGTGTCGCATCCAGGGAAAATATTTTTTAGCAGTTGCACCACAGCAACAGGGGGTGGGAGGTAGGGAATCAAGCCTGCAAACTAAGTGTAGTAAGATTTAGTATGGTAGTACATTAGTTTTGGTCTTCAACAGAATGCTTTGTTAGATTTTTTACATATTGCACTACGGTTTTCATGCAGAGAACATGCTTTTTCTGTTTCCAACATAAAACGAAATTGTCTTTATTATGCCATTCTAATTTTTGGTCAGTGAGCCTGATGACATAAATGTATACCATAAAAACTGCCACACTGACTACAACTTCTATACATTCATCCTGCAGATAATGTACATGCAGATGCTGTAGGAACATCAGCTAGGTAAACTTCATGTAAGCATTCTTTAGTGAATGAAGGTGCTCTTGAAAATATTTTCTTCAAAGCATCTACACTTTGGGCCTTTTTTTTTTTCTTCAGAGATGGAAGTTTATTCTGTATGATGGAATTCCAATTGCTTTGTGGGCTTTAACTGAGACCAGTTAGGTTGTTGTAAATAAGATTATCCTACACTCTTAAAACTGCTTAAGAATTCTTTTCACCTTTGCTGCTCTTTGGTCAACATACTGAATACCCACAAGGTTGTAGAAAAACCTTCCCAATGCCGAGAGTTTTGTATTAAATAGGTGGCAGTATTAATGGTGGCATAAACTAAGAAAAGATTCAGCACTTCTATTACCATCTTAAACACAGATGTGTTATCTATCCAGGTTCTCCAACACTGTGAAGATTTAGTTAGATGCAGTCCCCCTGAACTTCCCAGTTCCATTTTCCAGAGAAATACAGACCAAAAAAAGAACAGAAGCATTACTGCAACTGACACACAAAGCCTATTTAACATGCATTCATCTCAACAATGAACAACTTCCCGAAGATGCACCTACCTGTAAGCCACAGATAAACCAAGACCCTATTTTATGGTCATTATATGCAGAATATCTACAACCTCAGCTGTCTTATTTCCAGAAAATATCACAGCAGCATAATAGCTTATATTTAACAAAAGGTCAGTCCTGAATCAATGTTCTCCATAATTTTCAATGTTACTGCAACTGTTTCACACTTCCGAGTGCTATAATATCTGTACTCAGTAAGATTTTAACATTTTAATTTTAGAGCAGCAGTTGCAGAGCACAAACATAAATAGCTGAAACAATTAGATTCAAGTAGCAGATCCTCCCAGAAAACAATATGCTTGTGGCATGAGGAAAAAGGTTTTTGTTTGTGCTCCAAGGTGCTGTGTATCTCAAACAAGTTAGCTGAGGTAGTAAGAGACCAGACCTACCTCATACACAATTAGACATCTGCTCACATGACATAGTTCCTATTCCATTTATTTAGCACAGAATACAGAAACTGATCATGCAGCTTCCTGCAAACACAACATCAAACACAGAGAGCAACCACGAACAGGGAAAAGATGGCTTAAGAGTTTGGAAAGAAGTATTTACCTTTGTAGCAATGTAAAAGAAAGAAAAAATAAAAAGACTGCACTTGGTGAAGGTTGTGAGATACACTGGATGTAACTGCAGATAGAACAAGGTGCAGAAAAGTAAGGAGCACCTATAAAGGTTAAGAGCCAAGATTGAAAGGAATAGACTGAAAGATTGGAAAAAAATTGTTTGGGAATTAAAATTTCTGACTTTTATGAAAGCAAGCCATCCTAAACCACATGGAAATAAAAGCGCCACATCTTGTAAGAATACCTCTCATACTCAAGTAATGAGGGAAAGCAGATTTCACTACCTTCTGTGGAAGTGCCTGGATGTACATGGGAAGCTTCAGTCATAGCAAAGGCTCTGTCACTTCATTAAGCACTTAGAACTAGCAAGATATACCCACAGCAAACATTAAGAGTTTATACATAAATGCTGTCAGTTCAAATTCAAGGATACTGAGGTAACACATCAGATGACCACATCAGTGTGATGCCACACAGTATATAAAACCCAACACCAGAAAGCCTTAACTTTTCATTGACAACAAAAGAAAAATTGTTTTCTCTAAACCTTCTCATTCTTGAGTTTCATACTCTGCATTAATACCGATTTAATGCATTCCAGATCCTCAGAGGAACTGACCCCCAACCTTTCTCCTGCTGCTTCCCATCTGTTTGCTATACCCGGTTTTCTTCATAGGGTCAAAGCCAGTCACAAAACCCCCCCAAATGTACCTGAAAAAGGAAGCCACTTTGCAGACCCCAGGATAACAGTAGAACTGCTCTTGCCAGTGTCTGCCTAGCATTTTCTTGTGTAAGATAAGCAAGTAACTGCCCTTGTAGAATAGATAGATGTGTTATTTTCCTAAAAGCACTAAGGTAACTGCCAAAAGTAATTTCTTCATGGAAAAGAAGAAATTCAGTACAAACTCATGATTGCTGACTACCAGGCCTGGCAGCTTCAAACTTGGAATCCCAGGCAATAAAGATGTCATATGAGAGTGTTGTATGCAGAGCTGTTTAAAAGGAAAGAGTAACCCCACACCTCCAGTTAAAACAGGTGTAGTACCACTTATTATACCTCCACACAGACTATACATTCAGCTACACTGTCACAATGGCAGGAAAAGCATACAGTTAAAGAAAAAAAACTTCCTGTAACAGCTCCTTAATCTCCCTACTGGACTATTCCGAAGTGTGAATAACATGATCATCAGAACTAATTTCCTCTCATCTAATCCATGCTGCAATTAAAGCCCACAACTCTGCCTTATTCAAACAGGAATCCCCCAGTTGCCAAGCACTTTGCTGTAATTGCAGTGCCTACTGATCCCAACTCTAGTTTCACAGATTTTG